AGTTCAATTTGGTATATTTAATTTTAGTTCAGTAAAAAGCAATTACTTTAAAGAAGAAATATAATAGAAAATCAATAAAAAAAATTATCAGCAAAAATAATTTCAATTCACTAAAATTAATTTCAGTTCAGCAAAAATAATTTAAGTTCAGTAAAAATAATCTCATTTTAGCAAATATAAGGTGAAGTGAACAGGGCTTAGAAGTTACTCTGTCAATATGATAGGGGTTAGTTAGTTAGTGTTATAGGGGTTACTCCGTTTTTTTTACAAGCGGTCACACGGTGTGACCAGCCGCACAGAAAATATGTTGTAGATTTTGTATATGTCGTCACGAGTGATATGTAAGAATGATATGCATTTTATTTTTCTTCTCTTATATGCTTGTATATTTAATTTTTTTATTTACTATTCTATATATTGACAGGTTAAAGTCATATCACCTAATCAAAAGTAATTCCTAAAACCACTAACTAATATAGATAGGGAAGTAGGGTCGAATCCACAGAGAAACGGGTCTTTCTATTCCTAATTGATTAATATAATCTAAATTATCAAGTAACCAAATTGTTTTTGTGAGAAACTAATAACTAAACTAAAGCAAATTAAATAAGGGAGAAAAACAATAATAAAAGGCCTAGGGTATAGGTTCACCAATAAATAATATTCCAGGGTAAAACATAACAATTAATTATCAATGCAGCAATTAATTAGATCATAAAGGGCTTTCGCTACGTACTACAATCACAGAATTAATCTACCGGAATTAAATCGCATCTCTTGACTTAACCATTTATAAATTAACCTGCCTATTGATACTAAGCCTAAACATCAATTCTCATCTCTCGAATCTCGAATCGATATTGCATAACTCATACAATTAAACCAGGCCTAATCTAATTGCATAGCATTAAATCAATTAATAGGAAATCAATCAAGCATTGACAATCAACAATAATAAACTACCCCTTCATATTATTTATGGATCCCCACAAACCCTAGAATTAAACTACTCACACATAATTAAATCTAAACTAATCAAAGTAATTAAGCAAGACATAATTAATCAAAGCCATTAAATTACTGAAAATAAAAAGGGAAGAAATCGTTACCAAAATAAACGGAAATGATGAATTGTATAAATCTCAAGAGTGTAGAGAGAGAAAGTAAGAGTATTCACCAAAAGCTTAAAACTAAAAATCTAGAAATTAACTAATGAGAATAAAAAAACGTCCTTAACTGCCTAAAATAAAACGTATTTATACTTAGGCTAAAAAGATAAAACAAATTAAATGATTAAACTCTTCAGAAACACGCGCCCGGTCGGGCGGAGCTTCGCCCGGCCGGGCCCTCCTTTTTGATCCTTTAGTCTTCACTCGCGCCCGGTCGGGCGCGCGTCAGGGCGAAGCCTCTTTTTCTTCTACATGCCTCGCCCGGCTGGGCGCGCCTCAGGGCAAGGGCTTACCCGGTCGGGCGAGCTCTCGGGCAAGCTGGACCTTTTCACTTTTGGGCTATTTCTCTTGGCCCAATTTCGAATTTCCTCTTGGGTCTTGAATACTTGGTCCATTGCCTCGATCTCTTCTTTGCCGAGCCCTTAATCACCGATTTGACGACTCCAACCGGTCCTGGGCTATGAAATATGGTCATAATTCTCCAATGCTCGTAGTGGCTTATCATAAGTCCGGGAAAATACTCCAAATCTGCAATGTCCTATAAAACAGTACCAAAACTACGAAAACACTAAAAAACACATATTAGTAATAAAAGTGGCTCCAAAGAGCCAATAATACTCCTAAAAATGACCAAGGGATGGGGGTAAATCACTATATAAAATTAACATATCATATATGCAATAAAAATATAAAATGACTACATAAAATTCAAAAAAGACGGATAATCAAATAATTGACAAGCCTAAACATCATTTCGTAAAATTTTAGGAAAAAAAATAAATTATACTTCGTACTAAGCTTTAAGTTAGTGGCTTTGCAAATTTTTTTAAACGGGTAAATTTTTGGTTGTAGAAGGTGCGATAGGTGTGTGGTGATGATCAGGTGAATTCATCATGTAATAAAATCAAGGTAGTAAGTGATGGGATCAAAAATCCTATTTTTAAAAGTTTCATGTTAAACTTAAAGTGTTTTTAGAAGCCATAGAGGAGAAAAAAGATACGAAAATATACTTATGTGATATACGAAGTACAATATATAATGATCACGTTATTATAATGGTAAACTTTTCCAAAAATATATCGAGTTATAGGACGGAGATAGTCATTTAAAAGGCAAATTTTTATATGTGGCTGGCCACACCGTGTGGCAGGGGTTACTCGAGTTAATCGATCAAGGGTTACTTGAGAGGTTCAGTCAAGGGCTACTTGAGGGGTTCGGTTTGGGGTTACTTGAGGGGTAGAGGTGAGCAGTGTAAAATTAAAGACCCGGTCCCGGAACCGGTTAGTACTGGGTCCAAGATTTTGGAACCGGATCCGGAACCGGTTAGTACCGGGTCCATAATTTTCAGATTTGGAACCGGAACTGGTAGGAACCAGTTCCAGAACCGGGTCCCCGGTTGGCTTATACAAAAATGATTAAAAAAAAAAAACCAGAAACTGCCTAGCCCCCACCCCTGCTCACCGCAACCCTCAACCCCACCACCGCCGTTTTCCTCCCCCACCAGGAAATCCACGCCCCCACCCCGAAACTCGACCCCCGACCTTGCCCCACCACGGATAACACTAGAACCCCCTCCACCGTCCTAGTTTGGTTCAATTAGTTTGCTTTTCTGTTGCTTGAAATATATGTTGAGTAATTGTTAGTAATTGAATGTCTGGTTGCTGCTTTGTGTTGGTATTGATTTCATGATTGCTTCGCATGGTTTGAATGTTTGTGGTATGTTAAAGCAATTGAATTTGGTTGATTTTGGGGATGGTGGTGGGGGGAGGTCGGGCATTAGGTTTTAGGGAGGGGGAATGTGTTTTCTGGTGAGTGCATGGGAGGACGGTGGGTGGGGTTGGGGAAGAGGATAAAGGGAATAGAGAGGAGAGAGAGAGGGGGGTGGGCGGTGTGAATGTATTATATTTTTGAACTAGGGTTGGAAACTTGGAATAAGTTGGGCTATTTTTACTTAGGCTAATTTTCATATGGATATTTAAACAAAAAAAAAAATTCATAACTGGAACCGAGTACCCAGTGGGTACCGGGTCCAAATTTTCAGGTCCCGAAATTGGAACCGGTTCCAACCGGATCCGAAATTTTGGAACCGGTCCCGGAACCGGTGAGATCGGATTCGAGTCTGGACCCGACGGATCCAAACCGGTTCCGGGTCCGGTACCGGGTACCCTGGGTCTTTGCTCACCCCTATTGAGGGGTTCGGTCATGGGTTACTTAAGGGGTTACTCGATCATGAGTTACTCGAGTTACTCGGTCAGGGTTTACTTGAGAGGTTCGGTCAAGGGTTACCTGAGGGGTTCGGTCAGGAGTTAGTTACTCGATCATGGGTTACTTAAGGGGTTACTCGGTCAGGGGTTACTCGAGGGGTTACTTGGCCATGGGTTACTTGAGAGGTTACTCTGTCAGGGTTTACTTTAGGGGTTACTTGAGGGGTTCGGTCAGGGTTTACTCGGTCATGGGTTACTTGAGGGGTTCGGTCAGGGGTTACTCGGTCATGGGTCACTTGAGGGGTTACTCGGTCAGGGGTTGTTACTCGAGTTACTCGGTCAGGGGTTTAATTTACTCGAGGCCGGGGGGTTCGGTCAGGGGTTACGAGTTACTCGGTCATGGGTTACTTGAGGGGTTACTCGGTAAGAAGTAACTCGAGTAACCCCTGACTAAGTAACTCGAGTCATCCCGGCCACACGGTGTGACCAGCCACGCAAAAAAATCCCCCATTTAAAAATGAGGTGGCCAGTGGCTCAAGTAAAAATGAGGGAAAAAATATGACTTAATGTGGGTATTGATTGTCAGTTCCTTGAGTTGAATTATTTTTCAAATCTTTCCATACAATTTAAGAATAAAACAAAAAAAAAAAAAAAAAAAAAAAAAAAAAAAAAGAGGTTGTTTTCAAGTAATACTTCGTATATCAATATTTTGAGGGTTAAAAATATATGATTAAGACATATTTATAAGTAAATTCATTATTACTCATTAAATCATTTTATTTTAAAATTTTGTGAAATGAATATGTGTATCAAGATTTGTAAGCCGTGCATTGCACGGGTGCTATACTAGTAAATAATAAGATGATCGACTCATAGTCTACCATTGACAATTTTTTTTAATTACTCCGTACAAGTTAAGCCCAATGTCTGGTTTGTAGAGGCGTATATACCATGCGCATGGTACATACATTTTATAAAAAAAAAAAAAAAAAAATAGAAAAAAGAACATATTATAGAATTGTAATGAACATATAGCTATAATGAAAATAACATATTATTAAAATGTAATGAACATATATCTAGAGTGAAAAGAACATACTATTAAAATGTACTCCGTAATGAATATAATATTATCATGTTCTTTATTAATATTACGAATGTTCTTTAGATATACAAAAAGAACATAAAACTGGATGTTCTTTATAAAAAAAGCTATATGATCTTCAAAACAGTCATATATTCTTTAAAAAACAGCTATATATTCTTTACAAATGCTGGATGTACCATGCTTGGTACATACGCCTCCACGAAGAAAATTTTAAATTTCTAAGTTTAGCCTCAATTTCCTACTCGGTGAGATTTTGTAGTATGTGTAGGATTAGGCAATAGTCGATCAAATCTTAATGCATATAGAGAAGACATGCAAATATGCAATTAAACAAAAACATTTAATTTGTCAACAAAAACTTAAATACAAGTATAAGTATAATGCTACACTTATTTAACGAATAAAGATTATTTTGTTAGTACACTTTATATTAATTACTTATCAACAAAACACGTTCATCAAATATAAACATTTATGTACAATTTGAAGAATTACACAATTTACACTACGGACTGTACACTAAGGCTTCAATCTCCCACTAAGAATATCAGATATTCGTTGCTGAAGCTTTTGAATCTCAGTCTCAACTCGTTCAGGCTCCATTTTAATTAATCTATTGTATTCGCCCCCTGTTCTTTCTATTAAATTGGTTAGCTTTCCTTGCAAGCTTTTCACCTACATCACTACCATTAAAATTGCATCAATTAACTATACAAAAAGTTATATAGAAAAATGTAAATATAATCAATCAATAAACTGAAAGCATTAAAAAAACGTTCCATCTTTTAATGTATTTTGTGTGACTGATATAAATCATATAATAATACGTGATTACGTACTAAATATTATGTCGTCCCATGATAATTTAGTGATTGGACAAGAATTGAACATAACTCTAAAAGATAGGAGGTTAACCTTTCTATAAGGCCATCGATCAATCTCGAAAGAACGAAGTTTCTTTTTAATAACAGTGGCACATAAGTGTAATTCCACACTTGCATCATTTATAGTCCTATCAAAGTATTTGGCAAAATCTTCAAGTGTCATATTCTTCAATCGTTCTCTCTGTTTACCTTGCATATCCAAAAAACCAACATTCAAATAAATATTAGATAAATCTGTATTACGAAGTATTAAATAATTAAATTAATTAAATACGTTAATTGTGATAAAGATGACACAATATATTATACATATAATAATGTTTTAAAAAAAAATAAAAAATTAAAAATAAAAAGAGAATCCAAAAGGGATTAATGCAACCTGGATTGAAAGCTCAGTCCTATACAATAATGGCAATTGCTGATTGTCCTCGTCTGAGTCATACATCTCCATTCTTGAAGGGTTAGAAGACTCTCCTCCTTCAAATGATCCGCCAACTAAGGAATTTATAAAAAAAATTAATATTACTCGCTCTGTTTCTTAATGTTACTTTTATTATATTAGCAGCTAGTATAATATAAAAACAAATGTTACTATGTACTATATTAAACAAAAAAAAATTGTGCTGCATAATTAGATTTGTCTAAATATATATTGTAACATCTTCAAAATCAACTTTTATAAGTTTTACTTGTATATTATAAATTAAAGATAATATTGTAAATGATGTGTATGTCAAAACTAAAAGTCAAAATTGAAAAACTAGTAAGACAAAGGAGAGAGTATTAATTTAAGCCGTAATTAGAAATTAAATATGATTAATCGAATCGATCACTAACCTTCAAAATTTAGCCAATCAAAGCCGACGCTTAAGGCTTCATAAAATGATGAAATAGGTTCTCGCAACAATATGTATCCATTTTGTCTCTGATGAGCTATATAGCCTTTTAGATACTCTCTGGTCTCCTCGAAGGAACGCATGCTAAAACTGAATCAAAAGGCACAAATCTAATTAGCATCATAATCCAAACTTAATTACATGATAAAAGAGAAACGGATATATAATAGGGAGTATGTTTAAAATCTAACCACCAAACCATTTATACCAATAAATATATTGATTTCGAAAAAATAATAAATTAAACGACCCTCGAGACCACCAACATAGTCAAGAGTAATTTGTTAACTTACTCGATAAATTGATGATTTCCAATGTGATCATCAGAAGGTGGTAACCCGTAATTGGAGTAGTAAAGTGCATGATATATAAAACCCACATTCCCATGGATGACAAGCTTGGTAGTATGAGTGCCTTGTAACACAAAATCTTAATACATAATTTATTTAAAAAGATAATAACATGAGAAAAAGGGCATTAAAAAGTATATAAACATACTCAACAAAAACCTGAATCTCAATCACCACCATACCTTATAACTAATCAGTAATCATAATTTATGATTTACTTAATAAAAAAAAAAAAACCTTCATAATTTATTGCAAAATTACAGAAAATAAATTAGAGTTTTCTTTATTATTAAAGAGCTGAGTATAAACAATCGACTGAAGAGTAGTAATTTTCCATAAGATCCATGCCATCAATTTGTAACAATTACTTTACAGGAAATGTATTACTATAACTTTTCAAAATATAGTTTACTTCCTCCGTTAACTATTACTTGCCATAAAGAGGTATTATTTGTGAGGAGTACAAAATATTTCTTTGTTACAAGTAAAAAAAACCGGAGGATGTACATTTCTTCAATAATATTGTCATTCTCAAACTTACAATGGACGCCCATTTGGGTACACGTAAAATTTTTCGACATCTAAATACATAAATAAAACTAAAATTATAAGCGATTAATAATTGAAATTCCAAATAGAATCATTTTCACTATAATACAAACTGAATATATTTATACAAAGTCTTGCTTACCCTAAGCAAATAAGCACTTTTTAAGAACGCTATTTAACATGAATATATAAATGGATCATGCAATGGAAAAACAAATTTAAGATTAAACTAACAAACAAATGTCACAATTTTTTGTTTAATCATTTTATAGTGTGAATCAATAATACTAAGCTTAGTAAATCAAATAAAAGAAATTAATACCATTTGTAAAAGTAATTTCTCTAAGCACTTGACAAGAAGCACAAGGATCATGGTTAGGCCACACTACTTGCAATGGCAATTGATCTTGTTGTTGTAGTTGTTGTTGATCTTGAGGGGTCATATCCTCTGTCCCAACCCCTTGTTGCATTCCTTGGACACTCACATCCCTCCCTTCATCACCGCCGTCGAATCCAACATTTTGGTGATGATCATTACTTTGAACAAACGGCATATCTTGTAACGGTACGGGGTCATTCACCCAAGAATCAAGCATACTCCATAAGGCATGATCATCATCATCATCAGTAGGTGGTACCGGCGGGGCCCAGGGGTTCGAGTGCTCGGGACCGTCCATCGGTTTAGGATCATTGTTATTAGGATCCATGGTTTGTAGTTGGGGTGTAAGTTTGTAAGAGTAAATACGGATAATGTAGTGGATGGATTTTTAATGCATGCACAAAAATGGTAGTATGTAGTTTAGTACTCCGTATAATTAAAGGAAAATTGGAGGGGAATGAGATATTTGTAGGGAATGCGGGAGATGGTAGTTAATTCTGTTGATATGTATGCGTCTCTTCGTAAATAACCGCCATTTTACTAACTAAATAAACTACCCTCGTTTTTTTTTTTTTTTTTTTTTTTCTCTCTTACGGAAAACTACCCTCGTTCTTACAATCTTACATGCGAAGAAATGAAGGGTACCGGATAGATTTAATAAAAATATTAAAAAAAAAAAATTAATATTTGAATGGAAAATATTAAATAACTTCTAATCGGTTTTTTTTTTTTTGAAGGAAGACAATATCAGTAAATAATTAAAAACAGCAATTTAATTTAATTTTTTTTATTTGATTTGTACTTAACTAGTATTTAGCCTATGCGATGCACAGGTCAAACTTGCTAATTAAATATTTTTGAATAATTTGATTAAAGATTTTTTGTATTGTATACTTAGATTGCTCTACGTTTAATTCAAATCAAATTAGATGTTTATATAAATTGAATTGTAGAAAATACTGCTTATAATTTAATTCATTATTCTTAATTAAAAAGTTGTATTATATCATAAAAAAATGCGTGTTTATTGCTCGCCAAGAATAATTTATATTTTGTTTATGCATCCAAAAACATCATTAAGCATAATTAAACACTAATACTTTCAATTTTGATTATTATTATTTAACACTATTGAAAATGCAAAGGAATATACAATCATTTGTACATAACTAATCATCTAAAAAATATTAAATTATTACAATTGCTTCTCACAAAATTAATGTAGCTACCATCCAATATATTGTTCAGTTTTTGAATAATGAATTTCACCTGCAAACACACAAAATCACAATAAATAAATAAATAAATCAACAATACTAAGAAAAGTAAACCAAATCAACCTACCAATTTTTCATCTTGAATTTTGTAAAATATAAATTTTAGAGAAGTAAACTATTATTACTTCAAAATAGCACATTTAGAATCACTAAAATTTGGAGAATAGCCATGCCTACCTCACCTTCTAATCCAAAAATAAAATGAAACTATATTATGCACACAATTGACTCTGATTTTCATTTGTCAACAAAAGAAAGGATTATACAGAGGAATTCATTATGATATTTCTTAAAAAAAAATTAATTACAATAGAGGTATTCATCAATGTATTTCTTAAAAAATAAACCCATCAAATAAATATTACTCTTTATTAACAAAAAAAAAAGAAGAAGTTAACATTAGATAACAAAATCAAGGGAGCAAACAACATTATTCATGCATCTAGCCCAGAAAATTATGGAAGATATCAAATAAACTAAAACTTTCCATCATCCCTACAACAAAATAAATTTGGAATAACATCCAAGCTTTATAAACTTTAACTAACCATATATATTTTCAATCCTTTTAGAAGTAAAAATTTAAAAAAAAAACATAGAATCAGGACAAATTCAACTTTAACACATATGAAACATATTTTTTTTTAAACAAAAAAAAGCAAAAAAAAAACATATGCAACTTCTAACAAATCGACTAATCAAGCCATATAGAAATTCAAAAAACAATTGAAAAAACAAAACATTTGAGACAAAATGTTCTCAAATCTTTTGTTATGTTTTTTTTAAAAAAATAAACATAAAAACAAAAGTTGAATCAAAATAATGAAACACCTTGAAAAATAAAATAATTGATTAAACTCCAAACCGCGAAAGAGAAAAGGCAAGAGAGATAGTATTCTAACCCAAATTTAATTAAGGGTAGTAAAGAGGGAATACAGATTAAATTCATTGCTAAAACTAAATTGGGGAAAAAAAATTCATTACCAATTAATAGAAGAATTGTCGCCTCAACACCATCAACAATTCAACATTCAATCAATTAAATCCATTATCATGTCCCTGCAGTAAAAAAAAACAACATTGTAATCAACAAATTGAAGAATTGTCGCCTTAACACCATCAATCAACACAATTATCAGAAAAGGAATTGATTAAAAAATATGAAATTAAGGGGAAGGAAAATTGTAACTAACCTTGAAAAATATAATCAAATAAATTGTGAGGAGAGAAAAAGATGATTGATAAAGTAGTAGTGAAGAATTTGAATCAATTCATCTATGAATATTTAAGGGAGGAATTAGAGGATAATAGTGTCGTTTGGAATTACAAACTGATAAGAACAGATACATCGTTTGGGAATTGGGATGGAAGGTAAAAGAGGATAGAAACAACGTTTGATTGAATTTTTTGTAAAAAAAAAAAGGGAAAAAAATATTTTAAATAAAAAAAAAGGAAAAACAAAAAAAAAATTAGAGGACAAGTGTCCTTCCAACTTCCTGTTTTAAAATATTAGTATTGATTTCATTTGAGTGAATTTTAAGGTCAAAAATTGATAATAACGTTAATAAAAATAGATAAATATGATTCGTAATTTAGAAGCAAAAAGAGTAAAACGCGTAGTCGCTTAAGACAATTATGCCGAATTTATTAAGTTATGTTAATAATCTAAATAGTGAAATGATCATTTTATGAACCATAATTAAGAGTTGTAATAAAAAGTTTAAACTTATTTTTCCTTTATTTTAATAGAAAAAGATAAACAATGTTGTCTTATTGAGCGGAATACTTGTAGACACCTGATTGTGTCTCCCCAAAAATTAAACCTAGTGATGAGTATCTTTCACGTTTTGATTGACGAGTTCGATAAAGAGTAGAAGAGTCTTGCGAATCCAAATCATTCATTTCGTGTCCTTAAACCCAAAATCATCCATTTTGTTTTCTTTAAAATCATTCATTTCGTGCCCAATTTATTAAAACTTCCAAACCTGATTATTTTTGTCCATGTTCTCAGTCCAATTATTAATTAGTTTGATGGGGCTTGAAAAGAGCTTTTCAACGATACATTATAAGCCCAAATCCGACTTAAACGAATAAGCTAAGTTATGGCCAAAATACTAAACTAAGTCTAACCGAGCCTAGGTCCACCTTAGCTACGACCCAATGTTTGTATGGAGTATGAGTATCTTATTTAGGCCCTATATGATCATATTCCCAATCCTAAATCAGTTAAGAACTTCTAGTATCCCCTAGAAGGTTCTAATTTATCCTTTCCAAAAAGATAAAGATCAAAGAAGTTCGAGATTGAATAAAACTTCTTGTAAAATAATCCTTGTTCTATTCGAATACGAAGGCGTTCGGATATCTTCTGCAAACATAATTCCATTAGAAATCAAATTCCGTACAAATTATATTATCCTTTAAAACCAGCGCACAACGCCAGGACCAACGCACCGCGATGGTCCTAACGCGGCGCGTTAGCACCCAACGCGGCGCGACGACGCGTCGGAGTCAGTTTTACTTTCATTCAAATTCTGATTTTTTTTCTGATCGCCAGACTCTCTTTTTCCCCTATAAATAGAGGTCGTTTTCCCTATTTTCAAATTAACTAGAACCATCAATCATAAGCTACAACCACCTAGCTCCAATCATCACCAACAACCATCAATAATCCTTAACAACAATCATCAACAATTACCATCAATAGTCATCATAATTCTCGAAGTTCTTAAACACCCATGCTCTTAGCCTTAGCCTTAGCCTAAACACATCCTTGATATTCTCCCAAATCAGTCACAATACCTCATTCACGGGATTCGAATACTCTAAGCCATACTCAACGTTGCCTTTGACCTTGACGTGAAAGGTTGATAGTTCTGAAGGTTTGGTCCCAAATCTATATTTCAATTCATATTTGATTTATTTATTTTATTGATTTAACTTTCTTGAAGTTTATTAACATGTGTATTGTTTTAATAGCAAGAAGGTTGAGGCATCAAAGTGAGTAATTCAATCACCCTTATCATTATTCCTTTGATTTTGGAGTAGAAATCATGTTTAGGATGTTATATTAATTCCTAGTATCATGCTTAGGATGTTGATTTTGATTTCTAGTATCATGTTTAGGATAACGCTTTGATCATGTTATTATTGACATGCTATGATTTGTTATTAATCTGTTTAGTTTCATGCCTAGGATCTTACTACTAACGATGATTTGATGATGATTGTTGTGATATTAATCATATGTTGCTTGATTTATTGTTATTGTTTGATCACGCCCCTTTTCTGCAGGTTTATAAAGAGAATTTGTACTTGAAATCACGCCTAGTAAGATAATTAATAATTTGATTTAGGCTTAATATGATTTTAATTCAAGTGATCACCAATAATAGATTTGATTGTGCATTAATAATCAACCAATGTAGATTAAACAGGTTTAGGGTTAATTTGATGTATGTATGTTAATCGAAAAGCGCACATGAATATCATAAGAATTGAGTAGAGGCCTATTTAGGACGGGTTCAATCTCTTTTAGGTTGGATTCGTACCATCATCCCCGAACATGTAGTCATGGTTTCGGACCACTATGGAGTTAGCGAGCTCCGTGATCGTGAATGGGGTGTAACCTTCACACCTGTGGACGGTTTACAAGTTCCTAAAACTTGTTGGCGACTCTTTTTCTCTAGCTTCTTTTCCTTGGAACGCCGCCATGCCTAAAAGCATGAACCAAAGTAGGGCTTGAGTGGAAAAATTCCCTACAATACCTAATGCATCATTATAAATAATCGAAAGGAAAACCGAACTATTAACCCTTTGTTGCAAAGAATAAGAAACGAAAGTAATTATAATAAAAATGAGTAGAATTTTAAAAAAAATTGATGAAAACAAAAATTGAGTAGAAGTTAGTATTGACTATTGAGAAATTCGGTGACCATGCTACTAGTCATCTAATGTGTCATGGTCGATTTTATTTCTGTTATAAGAGTGCAAAGTTGGTATAAATTATTTCAGTTGATGCAAAATCTATGTTAATTAACTTTATTTGAACTTATCTTAGTTAATCTCATATCAATGTAGCATACAAAATACTTCGATTTGTAAATGTGACAAAACTCATTTCACTATATTGGTTCAGACTTTTCTAAGCTTATTGTAATTACTAGATCTATATGCACGCAATGCATAATTTAATTTTCTAAATTTTATACGTCAACCATTCTAAAAGTGTGAGTAATAATTAAGGGCAATTTTAGTCAAGTTAAAGAAAAACAGATCATAAGATTTGCATATAATCTCCCATTTTGTGTGACAGTCAAATCTTAAGATTCGTCATACTCCCTCCGTATTTTAATGAGTGTTACACTTTCCAAAATGTGGTCGTGTTTTAATAAGTGTTACACCTCCCTTTTTTTTTTTTTTTTTTTTTTGCAAAAACCTACATTTTAATATTATATCTCTCTCCACTCATGGTCTCCAGCCAAACCCACTACTACTTTTTAATTATTTCTTTTTTCTCACATTCAGGGGTCGTTTGGTTCGCACATGAGAATCGGAATGGAATGCAGAAAGGGTATGAAGGAGAAAGGAAAGAAATTCCTTTAATTTGGCCTGGTTGTTTGGTTATGTACAAGAAACGGAAAGAACTGCTCATTGATTTCCTTTGTGACTGTTTGGTTCAAACCAAGGAATTAAACCATGAATTTTTAAATTTATTTTTATTTTTTCATATAATAACCTGTTACTATATAATAAGCAAAAAAATAAAAAGAATATTTCCATATTTTCTTGTAAAATGAAAAAAGTGAAAACTCATAAAAATAAGCAAAAAAAAAAAAAAAAAAAAAAAAATAATCCCTAATGTAAGAATGTCTTTAAATCCAAAAAAATTGCAACAAATACAGTATAATCAACAAAGAAATGCAATATAATCAGCAAATGCAATATAATCAACATATTTCTGATGCAGAAGCTGAAGGTTGGATGATTATTAACCCAGATCAAAATATGGGTGGGTGGTTTCAAGGAGGTTGGATGATTCGTAAGGGTGACGGCGGTGGTCGAAGGGGCGGCGACAGTGGTTGGAGGAGTTCGAACCCAAACTTAGACCCACACAACCAAATTCAAACCAATGAAACCAAACCCACCAAGAAGGATTTGAATTGATGTCCTTTCATTGATTCCTCTTAAATTGCATTTGAAATAGAATCGAATCGTTCTAGATGAAAAGTAGAAAGGGAGGGGGGATATGGCGAAATTGGTAGACGCTACGAACTTAATACCCAAGCCACTACCACAAACCACCCAGATATACGAACCACCCACGAAACTCCGGCTGCTACCTCCCAGATCTACAAACCCACGAAACTCCGCTACTACCGTTGTTAACGGTGGAAGAACCTGCAAACCCACAAAACTTCACTACTACTGCCATTAACGGTGGAAGAATCACCGAATAATCAAGGGTTAGGGAAGGGCAGCGAGGTTCGTTCCGGTGAGGGGCGGCGAGTTCCGGCGACGGTCGCAACTGGGTGGTCGACGGTCACGGTTTTGTAGTTGGACGGAACCACTCACTGGCGGCGGCAACTTCTTCGAGCTGGTTAGGGTTCACTTGAGAGGCTTGAGAGGAGAGAGAAAGGGGTGTGGGTAATGAAGAGGAATAGGAATGCAAAAGGCTTGGGGGAGGTGGGGAATGACCATACCATGTTTTTGGGTAAACCCAAAAATAAAAAAGGGGAAAGGGAATGAAATTTTTTGGCAAACAAATGACAACAAAGGGAATAATTCCTGCCCATTCCCTTTCCCTTTGTTTTTAACCCCCAACCAAACGCCCACTCATTACTTTTCAATAAATTATTAAACCCACTATTTATAATTTTTTTTAATATACCACACTTACTTCTTATTTCATTTAAATTGTCTAACTCTATCTACGTAGAGTATTTATTAAAACACGGAGGGAGTATAATTTCCCAATTTTTTTTGACAGTCAAAGTGTCAAGTTTCAATTTCATAGAGGGGTATCCAATTTCCAGTGTCAACAAAGATTACGAAATGAAATGAACATAGCAAGAAGAACAATATTCAACACTAGGCTTCTCAATTCCTACTCAATTTCTCTCTCCAAATTTCAATCAAACAAAACTCCTCTTCATTCCTATTCTTCATCCATCTTCAACAGAGCAATCAGCGGCAATCTGCCGCCATTAAAGCACAAAAATTCAAGCTTTTCAACAATAATGTCTTCCTCTTTCAAGCCTGAACAAGCTAGGGTTCCTCCTGCTCTTCAATTGCCCACCCCTCCAATCACCAAGGTTATACCTTTTTCTATTTTAAGAAATTTTTGGGGCATTTTTTTGATTAATTGTTGTTAATTTGAAGTGGGTATTTTGTTTTAATATCTGGGGTTTACTAATTTCTGTGAAATTTTTGGTGGGCAGTATAAAATTGGCCTTTGTCAGCTTTCTGTAACATCAGATAAATCGAGGAATATTGCTCATGCTAAGAAGGCTATTGAGGATGCTGCTCAAAAGGGTGCCAAGCTTGTTGTGTTGCCTGTAAGTTTGCTAATTGTTGCATTTGCCGGTTTTCGTTGGTTGCAATCGTTGATTTGTTTGATAATTTCCATAAATTGGTCGATATTAATCCTTATTCTTGTTGTGTTATGGTTTTTTGAATTATAAATTGGGTTCGAGGACGCAGTTATTGCTAAATTTGGCTGAGTTTATAGAGTATTATGCTGTTTGTCTAGCAAGTATAGTGTTGAAATTGCTAATAGATCCATTGGATAGTTGTACCGGTTGAATTATGCTGCAATTGGGAGGTTATCATTTTTGAACATATGAACTGAAATTAGGGAGTAAGTAGAGGTATATATGATCATTGGATGAATTGCTTGTGGCGACGTTGAAGCCGAGTTCTCTAGAGTGGAATTTCGGGCAATAGGATCATAGGATGTGTACATTGTGGATTTCCTGAGATAAATTCCTTTTGGAGTTGGATTGTCAGGGCCTCAGGGGAATTATATGCGATCAAATTCTAAATCCTTATGGCTGTGCTACCTTGTCCTCTAGGATTTTCACTTTTAAGGTGTACGGATGTATATCGTTTTGGAAATGCTGATATATTAGCATGTTGAGGAAAGTTGGGTGAGTTTTTTTAAGAATACTGGAAGTTGAAATTTTGGGTCCAATTTGGCCAATAAAAATATATTTTCAATAGAGGTATCTGCTACTCGTTTAACTAGATATCTCCGTGCTGTAATTTACTGACCTAGGGGACAGTTGTGGCATCAAATTTAATTGAATTTTCCATAAATAAAGATATCACTCATTGTCTTGTTGTCCTACTGAAGCTAGTGGTCACTATCTTGTATGAAATTGCATATGATGGTAGCGAGTATGTGATTTGTATAATTCTATTTTGACAAAATTGGCCTCAACACTTTGAACTATGGCTTAAGTGCACTCAGCGTAATAGCTAAAACACCACAAACTAATGACTTGGATGCAAAGCATACCTTTTGTGAGCTTTCCGGCCACCATTCTCTCCGGAGCCGGTGAATTAAATATTTATTTTTTGATTTGCGTGTCGAAAAGTGTCCGTTAAGGTTTTGAGGGTAATTTTGACCCATAAGGATCCAAATTGAGCTCGAAATAAGCAAAAAAATAGCGTAAATGACTCGTTTTGTGTGTTAGAAAATATCTCGATTTGCATGTCATTGTTTTTTAAGCCGAGTTGAGTCATTTATGTTATTTTTTTTGTTTGTTTATTTTGAGCTCAATTTGGACCCTTAAGAGCCTAAATGACTCCCGAAACCTTAATGGGACATTTTTTGGCATGCAAATCGAAAAATAAAAATTTAATTCACCGGCTCCGGCAAGAATGGTGGCCGGAAAGCTTACTAAAGGCACGCTTTGCAGCCAAGTCATTAATTTGTGGAGTTTTGGCTACTACGCAAAGTAGGGTGCACCCATGCCATTGTTCTTGAGGCCAATTTTGCCTTCTATTTTCTATATACTTCGTATTTAAATAGGTAAAATATGCTTAAAGTTGTGCCTAAATGTCATAAAAGATCTTATGTTTGTGGATATATTGTAACCGCAATAGTAAAAGTGTCAATATTAGTTGGGCTAGTTCTAATCATATTAATAACATTTCAATCACGAAGATGTCAGTTTGACAATGCTGTGACTGAAATAAATTAGTAGAAAGATTATAAATTAAAATTACACAAATAATGTAGGCAAATAAGAGTTAGGAAAGAGGGAGAAAATATAGCAAGATGATGGTAGACTTATGCAGGATGGCTTAAGGAACAAAGAGTATATTCACACAAAAGGTAATCTGGATGGTGAATGAGCTGACCTAAATTGTGGCAGACTTGAAAACAATAAAGGAATTCCTCATGCATGGTTTAGCCTTCTTTTGTTTTAGAAGATGTAGTATCACAAATTCACAATGGAATGTTAAATGCTTTGATCTTAAAAACCCATGTGTGTGTGTGTGAAATGGCTATTATACTTCATGATGATATTGATGTTTGTATCAATTCAGGAGATTTGGAATAGTCCATATTCAAATGATAGTTTCCCTGAGTATGCTGAAGATATTGATGCTGGTAGCAATGCATCTCCTTCGACAGCAATGCTCTCTGAAGTTTCTCGCGCCTTGAAGGTCACAATAGTTGGAGGATCCATTCCAGAACATGCTGGGGATCGTTTGTATAATACATGCTGCGTTTTTGATACTGATGGAAAGCTAATTGCTAAACATAGGAAGGTATGCTACTCCCGTCCCTTGCTTCTGTTGTTTGAATGGACCATATTTCTGAACATAACTTTTCTGACTACAGATACACCTATTTGATATTGATATTCCTGGAAAGATCACTTTCAAGGAATCACAAACTCTTACAGCAGGAGAGACTCCTACAGTTGTAGATACAGGTTTGATGTAGAACATGTCTACAAGGGATAATTTATTTGAATTTTTACTTTCTATTTTTGTGGGATATGCTGATATGGTACTCAAAGATTTTGAATAGCTCCATCATTCAACTGTGTTTATTTGGTGCATCCATATATAAATGTTTCCCATCACATGCTTAATCCGCTAAGCCCTATATTGGCAGAGGGTTTGCTTATGATTTTGAGAGTCATAGAACTAGTTCGTAACAAGTTTTTCAATTTTTACTCGCTCAGCTTCCTCCCCAACCCACCCTCTATATTAAATCAAGGTTGTCAATTTTAAGATTCTATGATTCAGAAGCAGTTGATACCAATTTAAGAGAGAAGCTTAATTTTGTAATCTGTGCCTCCCAGAATCTTTTGAAAGCAATAGAAAGAGAATAGGATCACTGCCTCACTGGTTAATTTCAAGTCCAATTGAAATACAAATTACATATGAAAACAAAATTTACACATTCCATTGTACTCCCTCCGTGTTTAAATAAATGAAACGTTTTGATTTTCACGGAGTTTTAGGAAGGTTAGTTGAATTTATTAAAATAAAAGGTAGTGGGGTATGCATTTGAGGAGACAGAAAAAAGTAAGGGTTTTTGTGGGGACCATTAATTAGTAGAATATTATTAAAAAATAGAGAATATTATTAAAAAAAATAGAGAGAAGTTACTAAAAGAGGAAACGTTTCATTTATTTTAACACGGCCGCAAATGAAAAACGTTTCATTTATTTAAACACGGAGGGAGTATATGACAAGCATATACTTTGTTTGTAAAGGAGGCTATATGTATGAAAAGGAGAGATAAGACCAGTAGCTTACTTTATTATCCTCATGAATATTCTTTCTTATGGATATTTGATTCATCAAGCATGCTTGTTGATGGTGAAGAATTATCTTTTGTTTTATTTCAAATCTGTAAGCATTTTGTTGGTATTATTCATTATGGGAATCTGATTTTAGCAATAATCAAACTTACTAGATTCAATTCTGCTATTTCCACTCAAAGGGAGGATCTTTGGCTGGATCTTATCTAACATTGCTAGTATAATGGTCATGTTTGTCATTGAAATGTTTGCACTGTACTGTTTTCTGTTTTGCGAAAACTTTTCAAGTGAAACATGATGTCTCATTTTTTTTTTTCCAGAGGTTGGACGCATTGGAATAGGCATCTGTTATGACATTCGCTTTCAGGAATTGGCAATTCTATATGCCGCAAGAGGTATTTACTTCTGTAATTTTAATGGATCTGCATGTCCACAGTTCTCTATTAGCTTCCATCTAGTCTATTTTCAGTGTTTATTTTCATCAACATTGACTTGTATCCCCTTCTTCGATACTGTTTTCTAGTTCTCTTTGCAAACACTTTGTCGGATATTTTTCTTGTACACCTTGCTTGTGATGTCTTTGTAAGTCTTTCTCTTGGTATCTTGATGGCTAGCTAGTAACAGAAATTGCTGAATTTACAAGAATTACAAATTTTGCCTTTTCCCCAATGTTGGATACTTAAACCATCCTTTTTTATGAACTAAAACACAGGAGTGTTTGTCATATGAGGAGTATTTAAATTGTGTTGGGCTTAGGTATGTTGTATTCTTAGTTTAAAAGTTGTGGTTACACTTCACTCTTTTGCATAATAGGAGCTCATTTGCTGTGCTATCCTGGAGCGTTTAACATGACTACTGGACCGCTGCACTGGGAATTGCTTCAGAGGGCAAGGTAGTATTCACAACTTGACTTATTCTTCTTTCAAATTAATGCATTACAATTGCTTTATCTGTTTAGGCCGATGTTAATAATTGGCTTTCATGAATTATCTCACTAATATTGTTTTTGGACTGTTAAGATTGAGGAATTAAAGATGTGTAAACTGAGCTGCTGTTTTTTTAGTTTCTGCCCTTGTTTCATTCCAGAATTTTTTAAAATTTTCTTATTGGCAGTATTCATTATAATTGCTGAATTATTGCAATAGAACAGCGTTATCTTTGAGACATGAATCTGCTAGGATATGGCCAGAGTAAATTGAGTATTTAAGAAAATATGATGACTGACATATGGAGATATGGATATTATGGACTCCCAATTGTGTTTATTATTAAAAATAGGGGTGCCCAAGCATGGAATCTTAACTTACAACTGCCTCGAAAGAAACACAAGAGCTATATTTTTCATGGAGTCTGATTCATGAGGAGAATATGTAGAGTTTCTATTTTTTTGTTTCATTATTCTGTGTTATTGTGTATACTTGTTAATTAATGATAACAGTAGTTACTCCCTCCGTGTTTAAGTAAATGAAACGTTTTGACTTTCACGGAGTTTTAGGAAGGTTAGTTGAATTTATTAAAATAATAGGTAGTGTGGTATAAGTAGGAGGAGAGAGAAGAAAGTAAGGGGTTTTGTGGGGACCATTAGTTAGTAGAATGTTATTAAAAAGTAGAGAGAATATTATTAAAAAATGGAGAGAAGTTGCTAAAAAAGGAAACATTTCATTTATTTAAACACGGCCGCAAAAGGAAATCTTTTCATTTATTTAAACACGGAGGGAGTAAATTGGATTGTTGGGTAGAAAACTCCTTCATGTTCCCAGGATTCTTTGATAATTGCCTTTTGCTCTCATAATTAAGTAGTTTAATAGCCTTGCTTAAGGCAAGTATGTGGCTCTGTTCTGAGTCATAACTCTCATAAGAACATGTTCTTTGGGACAATGAACTAATAACAGATCTGCTAAGTATTTATTCTCACAAAAAATGTTGGTTTATAAGGTACAAGATGGCTCATTAAAACATCCACTGATACATGTTTAGCTTGTTATATGATGTAGTCAAGGTATATTTAGATCTATAAAGTTTGTGATGAAGGGAATCTGTTTGCAGTTTATTTTCTTAAATATTATATATCATCACATACGGACCCAAATTTATGATACTTAGTCTTTACTGGGGGGTCTTGGTTGGGTCACTTGGGTGGTTGTAACAACTTAGTTGCTCGGAGGTAAGCTGCCAAAATGCCTTGACCATTCCTAACCTATCCTCTGTATCTTCCTTGTAGTAATCCCTGAACAGTTAATTCATTGACTTTCGGGAAAATTCTGCTGTGGCTACATGTTTGCTGATGCATCCTATAATTAATGCTTATTGTCCTCTGCTGAGTATGAAATGAACCCCTGAGTTGCTTGTTTTAGGCACCTGATTGACCAATGCCACTTCTTGTTGACTAAACATAGTATATTGCTTTATAGAGTACATCTGGAGTGTTTGAGTTGCTTGTTTTAGGCACCTGATTGACCAAGGCCACTTCTTGTTGACTAAACATAGTATATTGCTTTTAGAGTACATCTGGAGTGTTTGTTTATACATGTTATTCAGGCACTTTCATCTTGCTGTTTGGCTTTAGCAATATTGTTGATATCCATCACAATGAAGCTCGTTTCTTTTGGATTTATTTAATCTAGTACATGATTCAAGCTTATATGGCAGCTATATTGTTGGAGTTTTATTATTGTTATTTTTTTAACTTTGCCGATTGTTTTCCCAATGAATACCTAAGAATGTGTTGTCTCTTTTTCTTTTTGCAGGGCTGTTGATAATCAGGTAACTTCAGGACCTATATTTTTCAGCTTAAGCTGATGCATGAGCTTAGCATCAGTATTAATATGCTGCATGACATTGTAATTTGTCCGGACTTTTTTACTTTTTCCTTTTTATTGACAATCCTTGTCAAGTCTGATGTTTGACCTAATAGTAGTGAATAGAACCTTGCGAACATCCTGCCAAGCTGTCATAGTCCTGACAAGAGGTACTGTAGGAAAGGAATCTACAACTTCTCAAAGCCTTAAGCATTATCCTTCTCTACAGTATACACTCTGTAATTAAGATAAAGTTTTAAGGGGATGGCAGGAGGAAATTATTGAACAAAATATATTTGTTGATACTGGATTTAGTGGTCTTTTCTTTCTGAAATGTGGCTCTGAAGGATCATATCCCAGTCCAAAGAGAGAGGGAGGGAAAGAGAGAGGGGAGGGGGGGGGGGGGGGGGGGGGGCAGGGGAGGCTCTATCATTCTTATGACGTACATGTTTTAGAATACTAAATGCAAGAATTATCTCTAGTGAAGAGTCAATGAAGAACATACTGAACTTTGGGTCTAAATGGTGAAGTTTCCAGGGTTGCATAATACTTACGAAAGCTCCCAATGCATGTTTTAATGCTAGTTTAGTAGAATTATTGGCGTCTTTCTGTTGGCTAACATGTGTTTTCTTCTTGCAAATACCAGTTATATGTAGCTACTTGCTCTCCTGCACGTGATGCTGGTGCTGGTTATGTCGCTTGGGGTCACTCTACACTTGTTGGACCTGTGAGTTATTGTATCCCACTTGTTCTGCACTTAACCTTGATTATCTCAGCTTTGATGTTTATGTATTTTCTCTCTCATACTCTGGTGTACACAAAATTACCAAAAATCAAGAAGACAAGAACAAAAACCCCTATGCCTTTGAAAACCCAATGACTTGATGGAAATTCTCCACATAAAAAGAGCCCAGGGTGGGTTAGGCAATGTTAACTAAGGTATGATATAGCATAGGGCTTACATAATACACCTTTGTATTGGGAGGCTGACTCCGTAAGGCCCTCCAAGAGTGTCAGCCTCAACCTTTCTCTATCTGGTGACACAACTAATCTTAAACGACTCTTGAAGTTGAAAATACTTTTTTTAGCTGTACATGATAGAATTTATATCCTTAAAGAACTTTTTGCTTATACATGGCTTTTGTTTAGAACTCCAACTCTTTCAGCAAATAAGTAGGAATTATTTATCTAAAGGTAATGCATCTTTCTTGAAGGGCTGAGTTACGATATTGTCACTCTTTTCCTAAATCCCTGCATTATCTAAATCCTCACCATGGTTGTGATTGCTTACTTTACATGCTGTTTCTTAAGAAACTTAGTGTACATCATACGCATAACATTTAGTCATCAAAAGGTAATTCACATTTTACCATAGGAGATACCTTTACCAAATTTATACTGTTAAAGAAAATTTCTTGGATGAATGACTCACAGATTTATACCATTCTCTCAATGAATTTCTGAGAGATTAGATTTTCACTTAGATAGGCATCATGAAAACAACTGAGGCCTACTTAGCTTCTTCTGAAATACCTTAGAAAGTGGTAGATTCTTGTAATGTTGTATGTTATATTGCTCAACTGAAAAGTCATTTGGCAGTTTGGAGAAATCTTGGCCACAACAGAACACGGTGAAGAGATCATAATAGCTGACATTGATTACTCATCAATTGAACTCCGAAGGTGAAAATAAGTTGGCCGTAGAACATTAAAACATTAACAGTTTATAATGTCAAATTGCTTCCTTTTTTTCGTTTGTGATTTGTTTTCTCTGAATAATAGGACTAATCTTCCATTGGAGAAGCAACGCCGAGGGGATCTTTACCAGTTGGTGGATGTACAAAGATCATGATCTTTATGGCATGCTGGGAGCCTGGGATATATATGAACATTAGATGACAAACAACTTTGAGAAGGTGAATACTGCATTCATTAGCAAACTTGGTGGCTTTCAACAGACTAGAATAAATGTATTGCTTGTAAAGTTTCCACGTTGAAATGAGCTTAAGCGAAGTGGATAGCAGTGTTGAACAAATTTCTTAGGCAAAATAAGAAAAAGGTAATTGCATGAGAAAACTAGTTGAATATGACTGGAGACTTTTGTATTTCACAAAGGAGTAATATGTACCTCTAGTCGGAATCAAGATTAAGAAGACGGAGTATTGACATTATGATCGTAAAGTGTCAGTCTGTTAGATATTGTAAATTACTCTATCCTAATATATGAAGACAGAGTATCGACATAATAGTACTAGTACTTCAATTTGAATCTCTCCTAATTTGATAAATCCAAAGTGTTTTTGGTTTGTAATGACAAATCAATGGACGACCCAAGTTTTGAAAAATATTTAGGATTAAGAAAAAACATGTTTTTTATTTTTTTTATTTTTATTTTTTTTTTTGACATTAAAAAAAAAAACAATTATAGGCAAATTTCCAACCAATTAGATTCAGGGATGTACACAAGCCCATTAAAGCCATAAAAAATAGTAAAATAGGCCCATTGGGATAGGTGCCATTACTGCAACAAGCAGCAGAAATTGACTCTTAAACATTGGTTAGCACGTGATTCTTAAATTAAAGTTTTTTTTTTTTTTTTTTTTTTTTTTTTTGAAAAAAAAAAACGCAGTGCACGTGGGTGGGTGCAAAAATGGGCCAAAAAAAGACCCGACAAAAATCCAACATGAGAAGTGATTTTGTCAGAAACTTAGATAATGACATTATACGGATTACTTTTCTTTTCTTTTCTTTTTTTTTTCTTTTTTTTTTTTTCGGGTGGCGAAAGAAAAAGAATGAATTCAGCTATGATATCCTATGTTCTTTTTTAGTGTATCTGTAAATATGCATGTTGTGTTTACGAATAAATTTTAGCTTTTGTTATGAAATGAATACATACATGTATGTGTCCATTTATTGTATCTTTTCTTCTTTTGAGTTAGTTCATGGCCTTCCGCCTTTGCTTTGGGATAGCTATATATATCTCTCCTTATATCTTGTACTCTGTGCTCATGTGTCGGATAACATGTTCTTATGATCTCTTCGTTTTTGAATACTTCTAATAATTTGAGTGATATATTTGTCAAAATAAATGTAACTTGTATGGAATTATGCATGGGTAAATAAACAATACATTTGCCAAGCTAAAACTAAAAAAAATAAAGCTCAATATAGCTCGGCTTAAGTTATAACTCGTGTATGTTTCTTAAAAGAGCGATGCTTAGTTGGGGCCTAAGAGGGTCATGGTCCATGTGGTGTCCTATTCCTTCGTTGTAATCGCGCTTATTGAAGTGACCCCTATAGCCCTATATTTTAATTAGACCAGCCTCCCTCCTCAATCAAGTCTGACTTCGCCCTTGGTTTCTTGTCAAGCTCAACTTGACACGATTTGTTGACCATCTTTGATTATGTTCATAATATATAAAGAAAATTTATGGCCAATTATATTAGCAAAGAGTGTACCGATTTCAAGTACTTGCAGGCCAATTAATAAAACATTATCATAAACCAAGCAGCATGATCTTAGCTAGTGTGTGAAAATGAGAAGCCGTCGTTATCCGAACATATTTGAGACATACCAAACTTTGGGAATACTTAAACCTAAGTATACATCATTAAAAGTTATTACTTTCGATCTCTAATAGAGTTTTTAAAACTTTAAATTAGCCATTAATAAGCGCTAAACTCTCACATGCTACTTAGTTACTATCTTTAATGAGCATGCACACTATAAATTAAATAAATAAACAAGCTCATTATTAGTTATGTGGTCAAAAAATATTTATTTGTTAGTTCTTAGGGTTTAGCTGTATATACCTTATGAAATGATTGTTGTAGATGCAACATTTGTCAAAAGAAACTGCATATTATATACTTCAAAAGAAAGTGCTTAGCTATGAATTATGATAGTTAGCTTAATTGGAGTTTTGTTTAATGGTAAGAATTGTGTAGCTTAGGCTATAATAAATGCAAGATTAACTAAGAGATTAATCATAATGTTAACATAATCTAGCATGGTTTAGATAAAATGATAACTAGCTAGTGCTTCGCATGTCTTACGAGTAATCTAAAGATGAGAAACAGGAGATCGAATTTATTCCTACTCGCCATCGAGGCCAAATTGCTGTTATTACAAGTTCATGCTCTTGATCGCAACTAATAATAATTGCTATACGTTATTATGATCCACATGTATATTTTTATCTTTTTAATTTTTTTTATACATTGAATTTTTTCCAAGGGGCTAGATACAATGTCATTTTCAGTTATTAGTGGGGAGTTTATTGAGGTTTGGCATAGCAATTTTGTTATTTTGTTAATGAAGTCCAAATATTAGATATACATAATCCTTATATCTTTGACCATGGTATTTTAACTGTGAGAAATAGAATAAACTATAGGAAATTGCTTGATTTGCTTGTATAAGTTGAATCTTAATTTGTCTTACATAACTATGACCAACGGTTACAATTCTTATTCTATAAGAACGTATCACTAAAACTCTACTTTATCATGTGCGAAAGAAAGTACATAGCTAGGTAGTGGGAAAAAATGCAATACATTCTCGATTACTTATGACTCGTCAATGCAATATAATTAATTTAGACATTATTAAGATATACTCGTATAGTCGTATGATATATAGTTCAATTTCTAAATTATATGAAGTACAAAGTATTTATTAAAATGTGTTCATATTATCAAGCACCCATAATGAAGTAACATGATTAAGACATAAAAAAAAAACTTGCTTTACAGATCTAAAAGAAATTAAATTATGAATGACATATATAAATCATATACGCCATTTTATATATACAATCAGAAAGAGCGTTAAACTTCCAATTTCATGATTTTTTTAAGAAACTTCGAATTTCATACTAGTTAATAACTAGGTAAACAATTTTACAAATTTTTTCACTAATAACTTTTCATGATTAAAAAGGTAAAATGTATTGTCCCTGCTCTATATCTGGGACATACATAAATATATAAGTAGTTGATTATTCCAAATTTCTTTGTTTCCGTTAGCATTGGCTTTTAAATGATGAAATGTCAATTCTCCAATAGTATGTTGCGAGACATGGCTCCTGTGTCTCCTTTTTTGTTCTTCAAATAATGCTCAACACTTTATGATCCATATTGGATGATGCAAAGTTATTGGGTTAAATCACTTTCTCTTCTTTTCTTTAATCTGCTAATTCTAACACCCCTTAGATAAATCACATTTTTAAAAGTAAGCAATTAGAGTAAAAGATTTGGCTTATATCTTTACCTGATTTCGGCAACATTATGGAATTGTAACCTAGGCTCATTTTTATCCCCCTTATGCTTATTACTTGCTTTGTTATTTAATAGACGAAATACAAACAACAAAAAAAGTTCACTAAACTACTCAAATGAGCTTTACTAGCTCTAAACAAATTAATATTACAAATAGCAGTAAAATACAACTTTCTTACAATAAACTACCAATTTCAGAACCCAAGATTTCGCCTTCGAGCATGCCTCTGGAGATATATACCAAGAATTACAATTACCTTTGTTGGATCCCCGTTTTCGTTGAGCTTGGGGAAAGAACGGAAAAGCAAAGAACACAAAGTTGCTGGCATACACTAAAAAGACACAAAGGGTCTGTAACATTAGGAAAATAGAACAACCAAGACTTAAAAACACATAATGAGTACAAATAACTTGGTACCCTTAATTGTGCGTACCTATGTCCCCTTCTTTAAGGAAGAGACCATAAATATACTGAAACCCTCCAAAATTTTCTTAAGCTAGAGGGCCTCATGTTGGAGAGCAGTGTTAAGATAAAGAATTTTCAAACCCTTTGATTGAAAATACATAGCTAAGCTGAAATGAAGGTTATCAAGAGACCACACTATTAAGGCCATCCCAAGAGTTTTGAACCCGAAAACCAAACCACTTAAAGAACATAATAAACAATGCAACAAACTTTAACTCCATAAAGAAACTAAACAGCCTATTAAACTAACATAGGAAAATAAGAAGACTAACCCAAAACCTAGTCTGAAACTATGACCATCCAAACAAAGTCGTGACCGCACCCAATTATGGCCACACCAAACAAGAACCCATTCAAGATTTCACGGTCAATCACAAGAGGTATTACGAGTAGTTATTAACTTATTACTTATATTTATGTTCAAATCAAATTATGCAACTAGCAAAGCCTTGCCTATTCTATGATTAAACTACATTTTAAACTTTTTCCATGACAAATCTCCAACAAATTTATCTTCAACGTTTAATTTGGTATTTCCTGATCCATACAAAAATGAACACGGAAGATAAAATAAAATACATTGTACTACAATATTTAGCATAATAGACTAGAATAATGCAAGGTGAGTAGATTTTCATAGAACAAACTGAAATGGAAAATGGGTACACATAGAACATCAAAGAAGGAGGACTAACCTAAATAGGGTATGTGTAAGTTTAATTTACTTATTTTATTATATTATATTATTTACTTATTTATTTTTATTTTTATTTTTTTTTATTTTTTATTTTTTTTTTATTTTTTGTGAGAAAGGGGAGCCAAAATTGGATCAAATAATAAGTTTTGGAGAATGCTCAAGAGTTCCTCTTACTATGTGATCTATATATATATTTAAGCTAGGTGGTTTTGAGAAGCCAAGTGTCGTTCAATTACATAATTATGTCATCCGTGATTAGTCCACTACTAATAAAAAATATATAGAATAATGAAAGAAAAATAATTAATTAAGGCGATTAAGCTTCTATTAGTTTCTATTATACGTAGTATATATTGTCCATATCATCCAATAAAATCAATATCCTTTTGTTTAATCTCATCTAACACTTTGTTAATTCTATATATATGGTGAAGTAATGGTAGTTAGTAAAACATTGTCAATGCAAATGCCAGCTCAAATGATCTTCCTTTTCACATCATTTTAATTAAGGATATACCAACTAACTATGAGCCTTCCTTGTCATTTTCTGTCTTTTTTCTATCACAACAAACAATTAATTTAATTCTTCTCCCCTTAATTAACTAATTAACAAACAAAAATTTTCTCTAGAACGTACAGTGTATATAATAATAATGCTTCACTAATACAAAGACATGCATGTACGTTGTTGTATATAATTATGAACCAACGTATTAAACCGTTGATAACGCTATTGCTACATGCTTGCCAACGCAGCAATATCAAAATTGAATTTGCTACTTCGAACCAATTAGTATGTACAAATAATTGTCGCATTATC